CTTTATGTAGTTGCGATTTTCCTTAATTTAGTTGCGCTTTGCTTTATGTAGTTGCGATTTTCCTTAATGTAGTTGCGCTTTGCTTTATGTAGTTGCGATTTTCCTTAATGTAGTTGCGCTTTGCTTTATGTAGTTGCGATTTGCTTTATGTAGTTTGGTTTTTCTTAATTTAGTTGCGCTTTGCTTTATGTAGTTTGGTTTTCCTTAATGTAGTTGCGCTTTTAGATGTGTAGTTGCAGTTTGCACTTCAGGGCCACCGTAAATTACTCATAAAAAGTACTCAATTACAGTAACTTGAGTAAATGTAATTCATTACTTTCCACCCCTGCACTTCACCCACAATCTGATGGCATGATGATCCACACTAGCTTCCTACCTCTACTACCTATCGACTCTAGCCAAGTGGAAGGTCTGATTTACATTTCTTTCCACAGTTTGCTCAAAACTTGCTCTACATTTGGATGGAAAACAGCTACTGACAGATTTTTAGTCTCAGTCCACCTGCCGTTTCCAACAACTTTTGTTTTTTTAGTAATATTTGGTGTGTGTTTTAAAAGCCTTGCTGATCTACAAGAACAACATTTATATTTATTCTTCATTGTTAAATAGCTAAAGTTCAGTCCAGTGAAAAAGGAGAGCACTTCTAAGCATCTTTTGTAGAGACTTTGACTGGGCCGTTCTAACACTGAAATGACAAAATGTGTGGAGATACTTTTATCCTGGGTTATGAATAAAAAATAAGTCAAAGCAGCGATTCGTATACAGTACGTAAGGAACTTCACACTTTAGAGACCGGAGAAGGAACGCGCTCCTTGTCTGCTTAACATGGATGTATCCTCTCGTGTCAGGCCGCCTCCCTGCAGCAGTACCGCCGCAGGGTTGGATCATCTGCCAATCAATCTCCAACCTCTCCTGTCTCCAATCAAGGCTTCTCACCCGGAGGCTCACCTCAAGTAAGGCGGTGTGAGCCGAGGAGCCGATGGCTCACTTTGTGTTTACATCCCCGTCCTTTGTCCCGTATCCCTGTGGTTGTTTTTGGAGCATAGAGCTCTGTCTGCTTCCTTACTCCAGCATAAAGTCAGAATGCTGTTAAATGGCACACACTCAACAAATACTGATAGGAGCAGTTTTATTTAAAAAGCACGTAAACTAATCTCATTGCGTATTTTGAATATTTTATGCGTTTAGATTCGATACCATGAGGCCCCAAATGTGTCACACCAAGGAGTTCATGCTCTGCCTTAACTCTGCTGTAGATTCTCTTCTACTCGCATTTTGATCCGTTTCTGTGGCTCGTTTCAACTTTCATCACTTTGGAAAGAAACAACTAAAATGAAGATAAAGATGGTTTAATATGGGGCGCTGTTTGTAAAGTTAAGTCGTCAAAAACTACAAGCAATATTTATGGCTATTTAGTGTGTTTTAAGAAAAAATAGGGGTTAATTTTTTGCCATGTCATTTGTTCACTGTCATTCATTCATTTATAAAAATCTAACTTTGTTAAATAAATATTTAGTTTGGAGCAAAATATATAGTTTGGAAATTAAATATTTAGTTTGTTAAATAAATATTTAGCTCCAAACTAAATATTTAGTTTGTTTAAAAAATATTTAGTTTGTAAAATAAATATTTAGCTCCAAACTAAATATTTGGTTTGTTTAATAAATATTTAGTTTGTAAAATAAATATTTAGCTCCAAACTAAATATTTGGTTTGTTTAATAAATATTTAGTTTGTAAAATAAATATTTAGCTCCAAACTAAATATTTTGTTTTATTAATAAATATTTAGTTTGTTAAATAAATATTTAGCTCCAAACTAAATATTTAGTTTGTTTAATAAATATTTAGTTTGTTAAATAAATATTT